GATTGACGATCAATAACTCCACAACCCATGATCCGTTGGTCCTCAGACTTGTCTGTTGCATTGGACTCGAACATTAATTATACCTTTTCATTTATTAAGTAAATTGGGTCAAAGGTCATATTGACCTCATGTATAAAACGGTTTCCGTAAAATAACTCGATAACACATGGGCCTTTGGCAAACTTAAGAGATGCATCGGTCCTGGATAGTAGATGACAACACGTAGTTGATTTCGGAGTTCAGGGATCAAAGGTTGAGATTATATTGACCTTGTTTCCACCAATAACTTTATAACATCTGGGATTGTTCTTGGCGCCAGGAAATGCCGCACATTAAGTTTGGGTCGCAGGGTCAAAAGTCACATTGACCGTGTATATCAAAGCTATTTTCGACAAATAACCTGATATCCCGTGAGACGTCGGCCCTCACAATCACAGATGCACTGCACTTTGCCGGGATATTAGACCTATTGATATTGGCCTCAAATGAAAGTTATATCGACTTTGTATGCCAAAACGTTTTCCGACTAAAAAAACCGACAACCCATGGGCCCTTCACAAGTACGTCGGCCCTGTGCAGTAGATGACCCCAATTGATTTCGGGGTCAAGGGTTCAAAGGTCAACGTCACAATGACCATGTAAATCAAAACGGTTTCCGACTGATAACTCGACAATCCATTGGCCCTTTGCACTCAAATTAAAACCATAAGCCCTCGACACTCGACCTCATACGTAATTTTGTCTCGGCCAGAATATGGATCCTCTTTATGTTGGGGTCACAAAGTCAAAGGTCAAGACACATTAATCTTGTATTTCAAAACGGTTTACAGCCAATAACTCGACAACCCATGGGCCTCTTGCCGTCAAATTTCGATTAATTGGCATTAGACAGTACATGGACCCTATTCATTTCTGGTTGTAGGGTCACATTGACCATGTATGTCGAAATGATTTCTGACCAATAACTTGAAAATCCATGGGCCTTAGGGTAAGGGTCCTTAAACTTCATAGATTCATTTGTCTAGGCCAGTTAATTCAATCTTGGGCCAAGCGGCTTATAGTGACATAGTTGTTAAAACGGTAACCAACCAATAACTCCACAACCCATACTGAATTAATTAAATGAGATGAATAAAATTATATAATGGGAACCTCTGGCGAAATCAAAACTGTTAAAAGTAAAAGAATTATTTTTCATTGACACGCTTATAGTGTAACGCTGACAATTAGCGCGCCTTTACATTATGTTTGTGGGACGTCAAAATAAATGCACGGCCGTGCTGTACCAATTTTTCTTTTTTTATTTTGCTTTGTGTTTCACCATCCCATGATACCCAAAAGGCAATCGTGTAAGAAACAAAAACAATTTCAAACAATAGGATTTCTTCTTCACAAGTATTGTGTACTAGTAGTTGATTTATGAGAAATGAAATGGTTGAAAGAATATTCGTTTTGTATATATTAAGAAACTCTTTAATCCATTTCTAAACAAATAATCTAAATCTAAAGCACCTCAATTTAACGTTTGTTGCTTTTAGACAAACATTATTAATGAATAATTTTGAAATATGTGCAGCGGAGTAATCTCTCTTGATGTTAGTTTCTTACAGTTCCTTTAAAATGGCAATACAATATACAGTGTGTTTTTATTCTTCTTTCTATGTTTAAAATGCATCTATGTCAATGTATTCATGATACTCAAATATTAATGTACGAGCGTATGTATGTACTTAAAGTATAGGATTTGAATCAATTATCCAATGACCAAATGAAATACTCACATGACCCCTGAGACAAACTAATTTCAACATTTTACAGCTTTTAAAAAATACCCTTTTTTGAAAAGGTTCATTAAAATGTGAGGAAGTGTGTTTGTGAAGTCTTTTTTTCATTCGTTCAATATTTTATTTTCTTCTGGTTATTTTTGTTTATTTACATGTAAAATCATATATTTAGTAAAATTAGCATGCTAATTACTTGATCTGTACAAAATATTAAAATAGAATAATTAAAATGCCTGCGTTTTAAAACTGCTTTATTCTTAAAGATAAAATAGTAGACAAATGACAGTATAGTAATAGCAATAATCGAAAGGCGTTTATGTCAATATACAACAAAATCATGTTGTCAACACCATTGAAGTCCACTTAAAAACAATGACAAAAAACATATAAAATCAAAATGTCGAAAATATTTTCATATACAAATGTATTACAACATATGGATAGTTAGGTTTAAGGTCATTTTTAGATGTAAATGAAGATATTTTCCAAATGCAATTTTGAATGAAAACGGCAGTTGCTTATGTACTATTGTTAGAGTATACATTCTAACTAACGAATTAAAAAAAGGTTAAATGCGATGCAATATAATTTAATTGTGCAAGGACAGTGAGGGATCAGATTTTTTTCAATAGATCGTGCAAATGAAATAATTTGCCCTGGTTTGAATCTATTTGAACAAGAGCAGAATGTAAATAACATTGAGATTAAAAGAAAATGTTTCTCATGATTTTCTTCTGCAATAGATAATTATAATGGCAATTAAAAAAATAATATCACATGATTTGATTACTTTCGCAACAGATATTTTTCTGATGCAAGTACAGTAACAGTAAAAAGCTGCGCAAAGAAAATCAAAGGGGCTGGATCAAAGTTGTCTTAATTGTGGGTGGTCTCAATATTTGATAGTATTATCATAGCACAAATATTTTATGATACATTCTATTTTGTATTAATATTTTCAACCAATATGTATCAAATAAGAATTTAATTCTTCACCAAAAGTGTTTCAGAAGGCAACCTTAAAACACGTTTTTAACACATTGTTTCATCAAATGTCATTAAAGTAGGGTTTCCACTGTCATTAATAAATAGAAAATGCACCATAGTATCCTTTTCTTAAAAAATCCATCTTGGCAACCTAAAAGAAAACAATATCTAACCGGTGAAGTAAGTTAACTACAAAAAACAACAAAAAATTCAAAAAAAAACAAAAACAAAGAGAACAACTAAAATAAAAATACAATAGCTAAAAGCTATAACTGCATTAGTAAATCTAAATAATAAGTCTTCTGGAAAATATTATTACAGAGTGAACAAGTATGTGTATATGTGTAGGTTTTTTTTATATTTTACTTTATCTATTATTTTTATTTTTTGTTTTTTTGTTTTGTTTTGTTTTGTTTTGTTTCTAGCAAGTTTAAATGTTTACGTATTCGTGTGTGAAATTAACTCGCCACTTGAAATTATCAATGTGTCGATGCACATGCTCAAAAATTAATGATTACTGTGTCTAGGTTCTTGCATGCATAACTTCATTAGATTGTAATATAAACCATATGGCAGCACTGTAATGTATCGATTCCCAAAGCCACCACATATGTTTTTAACAACAATTTGATCAACTTTGCGTTGCTATGAAATTAAAAGTGTTTTTGCATGAGGACTGACGAGTGAACATTCAATTAGGGTATGGTATTCATCTGAACAAAAGCAAAACACAAATTTGCAACATTGAAAGTTACAAGACATTTATTATTATTCCATTTTTTCTGCGTAATAATGATTGAAATATTAATAAACTATAACACAATTTGATTGACTTCACATCCCTGTTAAGACTCCTTTCAAATAATGCATGTACTGTAGACTTTATTTATAAAGAGTTTCAACAGTTTATTTCAAAATTCATCCGGGCAATATGCCCATGCGTACATAGTACGCATAACAAAGAAATATATAATACAGTCAAATGTCAATGTGAAAACTTTCATAAATTTCAACATATGTTATTCAGGTACACAGTATTTTTAGCAATAAGAAACAAAGAATAGAATCTACTATCACTTAGTTACACGTGTATCAGCATGTCTTGAATTATAGTGATATTCCTGTTAAATTCAATTCTGAAAACCAATTTTGGACAAAGAAAGACAATCATTTTCTCCTTGTTTTACTAAACTTATAAATACTTTATCAAACTAGACAACAATGCGTAAATATTTGCATAATAACCATTAAAGCATCATAGTAAAGTTGCAATCAAGTAAGTATATATAGCATTTCTTTATTTTGTATTGATCTACAAGATATTTTCATACTGTTCAAATTTCTTAATTTACCTGCACAATTTTTCTAAGTACAAATATCGGAACATGTGAAAAAGTCAATCTAAAATGTTTATAAATAACATTTCTGTGAAAAATTCAAATGACAAGGGGTACGCAACCCGGCACATGATAAGAATATAATAAATGACGTAAAATGAAAAACAAAATGTAACAAGTAAGTATTCATTCTCCCTAGTACTCCATATTTCTGAATCATGTTACTACTATCAGGCCTAAAATGTGGAGTTGAAGCGAGAAAGAGAGCGACCACATTCTTGATAAAGTCTCCAAACAATTGCTCGATAGCGGGCTATCCGCCGCTTTTTCTCGTATTACTTTTTAAATAATCAGGGGACTCAATAGGCTTAAAAATGGTAATGAAAATGCGATTTATAGTAATAATGTACACGTTATCGTACGTTCTTACACCGTCTGGTATTACATTAAACATTTCTTAAAAGGGACTGCAGTGAGGGTTTCATTGACATATTTGATATCTTGTTAACAATTTCTGTACTTCGTGATCGATGTGAGTATGGAACGAAATCAATAACATGTGTGCAATATTTCAGATCATTTTCTTAAAAAAGTTCAACAGACAAAATAAATTTAATTGTACAAAAGGACGTTATAAAATATACTTAACTCATATCACACATAGAATAACACAAATATCTATTTTGTATTGAACTCTGAGATTTTTTATTCATTGTCTGTTGCATATTTTCTGTTTGAAATGTTTAAATTGATCAATGTAAAACAATCAAATCAGTCTCTTGGCATTTAGAACACAGCGGAAAACAAACCTTAAGCAGTGTCACTCCTGCAAAACATAAAAATGCAAACATATATGAGAGCGTAAAACTGTTGCGGGTTTTAGTAAGAAGACTCTCGGTGGTGTAAAAGTTATATAGTCTCGTAGTTATTTTAGTATGTCTTGTGTTCTTTTTGGGATGCTTTGTTCAAAAGAGTTTCAAGGATACCTAATGAGACAATAACATTCCTTTATTCTATGTTTGTTATAAAAGTAAAGTGACTATAATGTTTCTTGTTTTACGATAAATCTCGCACAAATCATTAAAGATTTCAAAAGACCAAATTTAGGTATAACTGAAAGGATTTATTTGTCCATCATCAAGTTCAAATAACTTTTGTAGCTTATTTGAAAAGAAATATACATTTGTATTTATGCATTCAAAAGCATTTTATAATTTGTAAAGAAGGTTATCCAAGTTGAATCAACATCGATGAGTTGTTTGTCTCAACACCAGTGTCTGACGTCAGATATTCGCACATGTGTGTTACTTCATTAAAGGTTGCTCCGTAACAGCCGTTAGTTTTGTAGCATATGAACGCACATTGATGGATGGATAAGGACTGACTTGGAGCTGTATTCAATGCATGGACACCTGCACGTCCTTTGTCCAATCTGTAGTCTGTATGATAGAGGAAACAAAGATAAAAAGTCAGTAATATTTACTATTAATGAATAGATGACAGATGTGTAAATTATGTACAGCTGTATTCACACTTCATTTGGCGTTTTTTATCTTTTATATAGCTGGATGCAGGAATATATGATACTACAGATTGGCGCCCACGGGATTTTTAATACTTTAGGTCATTGGCTGTTCATTTAGATTTCAATGGGCCAAGCATATTTGTAAAGTCCTTTTGCAGAGCTATATATGTCACATTAATTTTACTGTAATTGTGTTGAAATCGTTGTTCTTTTTTACTCGTCATATGTGTTAACTATTTAAAATTAAATATATTAATTGTAGGAGAAGGCTTGTTGCACCATAAATAATTGTAATCATACTTTGTCGAAAACTTTAATTTGTCTCTTAAGTTCTGGCGACTTTGAGGTTATGAAATTCGACATTCCAATTCCAATTTTTATAATACGAGGGTTGATAAATATATTCATGGACACTATTAATAACTTGATAATTAATTCAGATATTATAAAGAATTTTTGCTATTTTGGAGAAGGATTTAATACTATTACAAATATATTGTGACTTTTCAAAAAAATTCTCATTTTGTTGATTATATGTATCGCCATAGTAATCCTATGCCGTACGAACGCCGTAGCTTAAAAAAAGTTATATTTACTATTTTAAAATACTTAAAAATTGGCCTTATTTGGGCGCGCTTCTTTAAAATATGAAAATGACAGCAACGAGGAGCACGACGTTGTTGGAGCAGAGGGCAGTAATTAAGTCTGTGTAAATCTTGGTATGACGCCACAGCAGACTAAGGAAAACTTGGAAAGTGTATCTTGAACCAAAAACGTGTCTTATTAGCGGTTTTTAAGTGGCACAAACACTTCCATGAGGATAGAGAAGAACTTCAGGATAATAAGAGATGCGGAAGACCAATCAAAACTTGTTGCAATGAGAACGTTATGCGAGTGAAGGCAGAGTTAAAGGGACACAAGTTTACCAGGTTCTACGATTACAGTCCATGGCATTGTCTGTGTTGCGTTCATTTGATACCTCATTTAACAAGAACATTTTCAGTCAGTGGGTACACTGGCATGAACGATGTGTAGAAGTTAAACAGGTGCTGCATTTTTTGAGAAGATGTAACGCCGACGTAACGTATTTTTTAGCTGCGAATGAGCTGCGGCGATCAGCTTAACATGTATTTTTGAAAACTGTCATTTTGGATAAAATATACGGATTATTTATCTTAAACTTACACATCAAATTGATAAAAGATTGAATATATGTCAAATATAATTATATTTACTTTCCTTCCCAAAAAAAAACAATTTATGGAGTGTGTCCACGAATATATTGATCAACCCTCGTATATGCTTTGCATTCCTTGAATAAAACACATTTCTAAAAAATGCTAGTTAATTATATATTACTTACAATATGCGGGAGGGTATCCATATACCTCAACCTCACAAAGTTCAAATCTTTCAACTACCGACTCAGATCTTGTAATTCTAACCCATTGTCCAAACACTGTGTTGGTCAGATTGAATGTATGAATGATACCTTTTGGAAGAGTTCCTTCATAAAATCCGTACAGTGTGTATGCGTTTCTGCTGGGACCAATGTACAATTCAATATCTCGAAGTCGTCTTGCAGCTTGAAAATCAAAATAAATCATAGCAAATAAGCAACTTGCTGGAATTGTCAAAGAAAGGAAGCTTTAACTCGAAGAAACCAGAAATATGTGTCGTGCTAATTAAAATAGGTATTAATTTTGGAAGTATTACAATACTTATATTGATATATATTCCACAATATATTTCCATTCTGAAGGCACATTTTGACATATATAAAATTATAAAACAAATTAAAAAACAATTATATCATTCGCGTGCAAACAAACAAAAAACACCCCAGTTTATTAGGAATTTGTATTCAGTAATGGACACTAACAAACTTACACAATAAATCATCAACGTTTTTTCTTGAGTATAAGGTGACGTGATCAATAAACATTTTGTCTCCCAAGTCCACCTCCCAGTAAGCATTGGTTTCAGTTTTTGTGAGGAAACAAGAGTTATCCGCTGCATCTTGTGACACATCTCCATCAACAGCCCTTTCCGCTACTTTATCACCACCTGTGCTTGACATATAGGCCTGCTTTCCATGCGCCTTATTTTCTATAATGTATTTCTATAACGTATCAGATAATATGAGCATGCAAATACAAAGATAATTAGCACTTTTAGAGAAATTATATATTATGTAAAGTCCTTGACTTGCAACTTTATAGAACAAATTAAAAAATTCTCTTATTGTCTGTCTATGGTAGACCACAAAATGAATAACTTAAGAGAATTATATTATGTTTTTTGTTGAATTTCACGTTTCACTAACAATGGAACGGTCATATTGTGACTTGAGTTTTACTGATTAAAAGACTTAAGGTGGCCGTTAATATTTCTTGCGCAAATATGCACATGAGTATGCCAGAGGCATTCCTTCGCAAGAATGGCAAGAATGGCGCTTCATGTTCTTTGCAATGTGACTAAATGCCAAACACAAATGTACCATCTTAAGGAAATTGATTAATATTATTCTTGTTTTTCAAGCAAAAAACGAGAGTGAGAGACGTCGAAGGTCGCGCCCATATTCTATATTTACGATTAAGTTTTCAAAAAGAATAAATTTGATGAACGTTTAGACAAATAGTTGTCAAAGTAACCATAGAAGGGAAGACTTGAAATGAAATTATATTTACCTAGAACATACAGCTCGACTGAGGTATATGCTGTGACAATGATAAATACAACAAATAAATCCGTATTGCCTTTTTGTAACACCATTTTTAAAGCATACTTAAGTAATCTACAAATTTACTGGTAACAACTGACAATAATCAGATAGAGTACTGGTAATATGGAATAACTTGCTGTGACCAGACACACATTCCTAATGAAATAATATGCGAGAAACAATAATCTTTTCAAAACTTTTCATTAGTTACGGCACTTCATGTTTCCTATTGCCATTCATACAGACTTAATTATTCTTTCATCAGACAGGGAAGAAAATAAATGTGCAGCACATAAATGCATGCCTAGCTTGCGTATTATTATCGCAAGATATTCCCAAGTGATTAAGAAAAGTGCACAATATCGGTGTTGTTTCGTTTTATTTTTATCAATGTCAATGAAAAAAAAAAATACCAGATCTAAAACAAAATGCTTGTTATGTTTAATTGTTTGGAAGATTAGGAACAATCATAGTATTGTTCAGTGTAAGTTCTCTTTAAATGTTTGTTTATAATAAAAACCCACATTTATTTTATTGAGCTGTGGAAAATTTTGAAACACATATATATATTTGACTTAGTAGTCAAAATTAAAACAACATTACCCTCATGGAAGTATTTCCTGTACAAAAGCAGTATACCAGCTTTTTTTGCAATATTAATGCTGTTGTTTTTTCCTTGTGTCCAGAATGATATGCAAATACTGTTAAGAAATATATTCAGAAATACATTGAAATTTGTATATTTGTGCTATTCTTATTCTATTCATCCCGATACATGTATGAATCAAAAGCTCGGTAACACTGTTCATTTTTGGGACATTTTACACTATTCAAGTAATCATTCTGGGAAAACAGAGCAAGTGCATGATCTGAAATTTTTGCATATAGGTTTTTTGCTGAGATCTACATCAAATAGAATATCATGTAATCAATCTTGAAAAATTATTTCCAATCCGGTCATGTCAAAAGCCTCAAGGGAGTCCCTTTAAGATGACTGACCATCAAGGTCAAATACTGAATTTAACTTATTGTCATATTGTTAAATTTATTTGTTTTGTGTTGCATATATATTTATAAGAAGATTTCCTTGAAAAATATTTACCTCATTTTGACTGGAAAAGTACATATATTATAACAACCTTAGAATTCAGTCATCAGAGGCCATTAATGCTAAAGGTAGTAATAAGAGTATGAGTCTGAAGTTTACAATATTTATGATTTCTCTTTGGTTACAGAGAGAAACAGTTTTCCTTTTTGTATTTTATTATATTGAAAAATGTATAATTTGCTGTCAAGTTGTGTGTAACTAAATGTGTAACTAGTACATTTTACATTATTTTCTGTTCTTAGTAATTAATCTATAGAATAAGAGTATAGGAAAAAGAATCTCTGGTAAAAAATATTGAAAATCTTAAAAGCACATAAATTATAATGTGCCAGAGATAAATAATTTTGTAATTCTTTAGAAAGGTCAAGCATGTGTTCAATGATGTTTTAATGATGTATTTAGAGCATTTTAAATGTTTAACAACTGAAAAGAGTAACACTGAACAAACAGTCATGTTTTGTAAAGGTAGCAAAATGTGAGCAAAGTATTATTTTGACTTCCATACAAAATACTAAATTAATGTAATTATACCAATTTCTCTACATGTATATGCACATGGTCAATGAGTACATGTAACTATTTGAGAAGTGCAACAAGATATGTAAAAGAAAAGTTTCAAAAATAAAAATGTTATCTTTTCTAAGGCTTAATGGACCTTTAAAGTTATTATTTAATATATATTTAACACAGATAACATATGTGCAGAAGAATTTGTAGTTAAATGATATAACTTGCTTGTTTAATACTGATACTTGTGCATGATCTTTAATATAAGAGATTAAATTTTGTTTTGCTTTTTTTAGATGACTTCTGTCATGTTACTGTTTGATAACAGTGAAGGTACAGTAGGTTCAGACAAGTTATATACATGTATACAGGACAAGACAGCTCAAACCGACAGTTTGTTATAGCAAAAAGTGATGAAGTTTCAGCCATGAAGTCTTCATGATGATAATGATGATGATCCTAGTTATAGATTCTTTGAAATTATCTGTAAGGAAGGGGTTTCTGCTGCAGAGAAGAAAAAATTCATACAGGTTAGTCATTTTTTCGATAATAAATTTAGGTCTGTTGTTGATTGCATGTCAATAAAGGTCTTTCCTAATATCATAAGGTTCTAAGGTATGTCATCTTGTGGTAATAACTGATCCCTTTGTAATTAATTAGAGTCATCAAACTTTTTAAACATGTTTACTGTAATCACTTGTTGCATGGTGCATATGCCTGAAGTCCAGGATTTTGTGACAAATATCATCATGTTTTACTATTAGATTATGTGGAAAAATGATTAATAAATGAATTACAGTTTTAGGGTTTTTCCAAATTTTCAACTTGCACCAATGTTGTTGTACATAGGGTTTTACTTTCTAATGTTTGACTGATATCATTGCAGACCTTTACTAATTCAAAATCATGACAAAATATTTAAAATTAGAATTCTCCTTTCCAGAATTACATTAATTCATTGTAGGACTAGTAATTATACAAAAAAATATATATTATTGTAAACATGTTACACTAGAAAATTAAAAAATTGAAATGTATGCTCATAGTGAAATGATCCATTCAAAAGTTAAATTTTCAATTATTTTTCTGAAAAACAATAACAGATTATGCCCTGCTTCTAGTTTCTTGTATTTGAGCAAATTATGCTGTTTAATTGTTTTACTAAACCTTGCTCCCACTTTGCAGTAAGAAGTTGCCCACTCTGTTCAAATGAAGCTGTCTGAAGTACCCAGTAGAACAATGTATTATTTCTGAAACAACTTAATTGAAGTGAAGCTTACTATGTGAAGGAGTTATATCTGTATTCAAAAGGAAACTTCAGCATACAGAATACCAATTGAGGTATAGTAGTCCACTTTAAATTTTTACTTTTATCCATCTAAAGAAAGCATGAGATACAAAAATAAGAGATAATGATTATTTTCCAGACACCAGAATACACTATGGTTTTGCTTGCAGTTTGAAGTGACGTTCTATTCTTGTAAAGCAGCATTAATTGAAACCAATATTTGTCCTGTCATTTAATTGAAAGTAATTGACAATATTCTTGTTTGTTTTTCGGCAGCATTTGTAAAGTTAATTTAGTTTAAATATCACACCATCCATTGCTTTTGATTTTCTTGTGACCAGAAACTAGTCATTTTACATAGTGGTGTAAGCTTACTATGATAATTCATGCAAAGATATGATGAAAGATTATAGAAGAAATATGTCTTCGATTTACTGGTAAATTGTTAAGTATGGAGCACATTGTCTTTATGATGTGGAATATATTCAGTGCCAGATAAACAATTACTTGCAACATGACAAATATATTTTATTTTCAGATATTTGTAGCTTCAGTTATGGGAGAACACAAGATTAATTGAACTGGAATCCCTTCAGATGTTGACATAGCTAATTTTGGATAATATAATGCCACAGAAAACTTGTCGGTCTTGGAGTATGGCTGTTTAACATAACACTGCAGATTGTTCACCAGAACAATGAAATTACAGTTTTGCTTGTTAATGAACTAATTTACATAAATATATAATTTTTGTAAGCATGAAGAAATTTGGAACATATCATATAATGGATATTTGTTTCTTTTGCATGCAAGATCCAAATATATTTCATAGAGTGAACAGCAGATTAAATATTTTCATGAATGGCATTGAAAAACATATATAATGTATAAGTATATCTTTGCTACAATGTTGGTAAATGGAGGCTGCTATTTTACTGTGACTGAAAGTAGTTCAGATATGACGCCTTATTATGTCCGAGGTTTATAGCCCATCATACAAGCCAAAGAGAGCAGATCTTTTTTCTGTGTAGAACCATTAATTTTCAATGTTCATATTTGAAAGTGATTCTGTCATATTTCCTGAATTTGTTTAATTTCCTTCATGATTTGCAAATATTAATTATCTACTCTTTATTTATCACATTTTTCTGAGAAATAAATGTATTTCCCACAAAATTTCTGTTTGTTTATAGGCTTTTTATCCTCATTCAGATAAAATCAGGCTACTTTTGAAATTATACTTTATTGTGAAATAATCTAAAAGAAATGTTTTTTTTACTGAAAAACATGTTATAAGTTATGGTGTTCAATTGATTTCTGCAGGACAACTTATGAAGGAAATGAAGTGTGTTGATACTTGCCATGCTAGTATCAAAAGACAGATTTAGTTCAATATTGGCAACAATAAATTATTTTTGATGCAGTTATACCCCTTTTTAGCTCGACCTTTTCTTTTTAAAAAATAGAGGTATCGTCTGCAGTATTTATAGAGTTATTGCCCTTTGACCCTTTTCCTTGTCTTTCTGGACTTATTACAGAGTTATTCAATAAAACTTCATCAATGGTCAACCACATTGTAAGGAAATGCAACATACAAGAACCACAACTTATTATCTTTAATTGCCCACAAACATAACTCTATTTCAATTCTTTTACAAGGTATTCTGTTACATCCTAGTGTCCAAAGCAGTTTTGTGGGGGTATTAATCACATTTAGTGATAGTTCTAGTTTTAACTGACCATACTTGACTTATTGTTTTGTGAGAATTTCATGAATCTCTCTGGATGAAATTGTGACATTGATAAGTCATGTATTCACAATAACTGAAAGTTTATCCCTGATGGAACACTTATTACTAGTATGCATATAAACAGAAAGATTTTTCAACCATTTTCTTTCCGAGTTGTTTGAACTTGATAACTTGAATATCAGATTGATAATAACTATACTCCCCAAGAATGAGCATGTTTTTCATATGCCTTATAAGTAGGTGAAATTATCAATGCTGAGTCATTATTAATAGGGGACTTGATTATCTACTTTCTGCTTCTGTCAGTAGTGTACTCTTAAAATTTATCCAACTTTCAAAGTATTATTTTGAGGATATAAAGCAGTTTGGTTTTTCGATCTCAACTGAACCACTTGAGAAAAAATACTGGTTTTTAGTACTTTTGATAAACCATGGTGTAATTGTTGGATGTCAATGATAAATCTCCCTGAATTAAATCATATGGCAAAATATTGCTCTTTCCTTTGTACTCAATCATTTCCACTTGAATAACCAGCAATATAATGTCATATAAATTTGCGCAAGCGACCCTCCAGTGCTTTCAGTGCTTTGATTTTCATTTTTCTCTAACATGGTTTTCTAGGTCTATTTACAAAATTCCAAAAGTTACATAGTTTCTTAAAGTGTATTTGATATTCAATCAACACTATGTTTTATTGTATAATTGTAACAAAAATAAACAAAAATGTGAAGGTTTTATACTTATTAAAAGTGGGTGGGGTAAATTTATCAGACAATTGTAGTACAAAATAACGTTTTTTTAAGAATTCTTATGCAAATATTCACTGCAAACATATTTTATTTTATAAGTATTTTGTTTTCCTTCAGGTCTAGAAGGTGTGCTAAAATATAATTAAATGCAGATACAATCATTTGTATACAGTGTTTGCATGATATAAGTTGTTTCAATAGTCATAATATAACTTGATAATTGTACAGAAAGAAGACTGAATATTCACCAACGAACCATATGTTAGATAAAATCATGCCTGGACCTTAGTAAAATGTTGTCTATATATGAATACAATTATTTCCTGCACAATTTAGTCTTGCTAAAAGCTTGTAACAGAATGATTCAAAGTTATATTTACTTGCACATCATTGTAACCAAGTATAATTGAATAAGTACCGTCCATTTCTAATAACTTATGTAGACATGATATTTTCAAAAGAAACAAAAATTTAGGCGACTGATACATCATATTATCTAATGACTAGGTGTGCTAAAATAGGTATCAATAAAACCGCTTGACCCACATAACAAACATAGCTTATACTTTATTTTTCCCATAAAACAAGAGAGCATTGTTGACCCTAGATCACGCGCCTAAGACCAACTGCTTGAAAAGGTCTATAATTCTTTTATACTGAAGAATGCTAAAATCATATAAGGAGTATCTTTTTTTCACCAGTCATGATTTAAAGAATCATGTCCAATAACTAGGCTCTCAGAACTACAAGAAGACTCGTATAACTATATTCTAATAAGAGTCCATGTAAACTAAGTGATTTTGACCCTATGCCAATAGTTTATAATCTCTATATAGCATCAAAATGTTATGATATACGAAATTTTCTCTTCTCTCGGAGAAGAATTTTAATATATAAGTCAATGTAAACTAAGTGACAGGGAAAGCCATTTTGGACTGAAGGAACATGATTTAAAGGCCCTCACGAGGAACACAGTTTTTAAAGACTTGTGTAGGGAATCGCATTGAAGTTGTTTTGTTGTTGATGTTATTAAAAAAAACTCAACAAACAAACAAACTGTAATGCCTAGAGCTTAGATAGTCAAAATATAACCTTGCCAAGTAAAGAAGACCTCTTTAAAAGTTACATAAAACACTTTTGTATCATTAAGTGTACATGCAATAAAAAAAAATCTTCTTAAAAATCAAAATGCATAGAGCACAGGTACTAAGCTGGCATGAAGCACCATCTTGGGTCTTTATTAACACATTTAATGAATCATGCTCATAGACCCACCTGGGTTCACAGACTTGTATAGGAAAACACATTAAAAACATCTAGTGTTAAACTTCATTGACTTGAAATAAGATATTTGGGATGTAGACTTATATAACATGCATAAATTTGTATGATGCTACTGCAGTCTGAAATGGTTTTGCAATGGTATCACTTAATTTACAAAGATCTGTTTTCTCTTAAACTACACTATCCGACGCATATACATTAATCATGTATCATCATAATTAAGTTATAATAATGATATATCATGGACAACATGGTCCAAATTTACCAAACACAAAAGGTCACTAAGTTTATATGGACTCGTATATAGATATGGTTATTAAAGTTCTCTCGTGTGAAATAAAAAATTGAAAGCAGATATTGAGCATGTTTCTTTAAAAGCAACCGGATTCAATTATGACACAAATCATGTGTGTTATGACATAATTGACAGTCCCAAAATGATCTTGTTACCTTTTTTCCAACAATGATCTTAGGTGAGTGATCCAGGGTCATTATTACCCTCTTATTGAAAGAAAAAAAAATAAGATATGATTACTTTAGGAAATACTAGTATACTTTGTATCTTAACTTTTCAAAAAGTTGCATGCAGGCCAGGCCATATCATTGATATATATGCTTCACATCACATACATTTTGTTGGCTTTTAAGCCATGTTTATATTATAAATATAAAATTGTGGAGGAGTCAAAAATATGCGTTTATGGACTACCTTTATACCTTACATTCAAGTACATGTTTGCTATTTTAAGCACGTTTAGTTGATTTATTGTCTTCTTATATGTCTTTACGATTAACAATTAATATATGATATCAAATATATTGAAACAAGAATTATCATGCAACCAAATTTAATAACTGAATGTATACACATGTTTGTATGTGCATTTCTTGCTCACCCACCAAATGGCCAGAAGGAAAACAAAAATACTTTCATGCAATAAAAAGTACTTTTTAAGCTGGAACATTTGCATAAGAATTCATAAAAAAGTAAAAAGGCAAAGAAGTAGAATGAACTTAGCTATGTAGATTTTCTGTTGTTTTTTCTTTCACAATTATCATATAAAATTACCCCACCCACTTTCACAAAATATAAAACCTACAAATTTAATGCTTTTCTTACATTCTTTACAATAAACACATGATATCAATGGAATGTCAAATACAGTTTAAGATATAAAGTAACGTTTTTAACTTTGTATATTACTTTAGAAAATCAAATTTGAAAAATATGAAAAAAAAATGGAATTTTTTCTTGATCTTTTTTAAAGATGTTTTTAGACAAAAACTTTTAAAATGTTTACTTTTATTGAGATTAACATATAATTTGATTATCTCTGATATGTTTAAACACTTTTTTTTATCATAATAAACATAATTTGTGCAACAAATTATACTATAAAAATGATATAACAGTTTTGCACAAAATCGACGGCCATATTGGACACCATCTTGGATTTGGAAGAAGTATGAAAGAGAAATTTTGTGAGATTTAAATTTTAGAAAAGGAGAAATTATATTCATGCTTTTGGTGTGTGTTAAAGGTCTGTACAAAAAATTGCAATGAATGAGCTAGAATGTACTCAAATTTATGTGTCGGCCATTTTGAAAATGGCGGCCATCTTGAATGAGCAGAGATATTTTGGGGCCCACTTCAATTTTGAAATCTACATGGTCTAAAGATGATTTCCTGAAAGTTTCATGCTTGTATCACAATTTGCACTATTTTCTCAATTTCCCGCCCCACTAATAGCGACTATTTATAATATGTTTTGTTTTATGATCAATCTTGAAAAAATCATTTAAGATTTTTGAAGCCCAAATTAAGATGAAGCTAAGAGAATGTTTAATTTGTCCATCTTTAAGTTCAAATAACTAATGTAGCTTCTTTTAAACTAAATGTACATTTGTATTTAGGTTTTCCAAAGCATATTCGTGTAATTGGAAAATAAGGTTATCCAAGTGGAATCAACATCAATGAGTTGTCTGCCTCAACGCCAGTGTCCGATGTCAGATATTCGCACATGTGTGTGTCTTCATGAAATGTTGCTCCATAACAGCCATACATTTTGCAGCATTTCACGGCGCATTGGACGACGGATAGAGACGGACTTGGAGCTGTGTTCAATGCATAGACACCTGCGCGTCCTTTGTCTAATCTGTAGTCTATAAAAAACAAAGATAGTTTTGTCCACATAAATCAATAATATTTACAGTAAAAGATTAGACCAAAGATGTATTAACACTTACTTTGGTCCTTTTAGCTTTAATATATAAGCTGGGTGTAGGAATATTTTACACTACAATGTGGCGCCGAAGGGTTTTTAAAGATATTTTTCTTTAATACTTCGGGTCATTAGGTGTTTATTTATGTTTCAATGGGCCAAGCATATCTGCAAAGTCTTTTTGCAGAGCTAGAATTGCAA